GTTAAGGAGGAAGGGAAAAGGGTAAAAGAGAACGGGAAAAAGAAAAGGGGAAAGGGGGAAAGAGGAAAGAAAGGGATGAGACGAGCCCTTATGATACCGGGCAGTGCAGGCAGCCCCCGACCGCCGTCACGAAGCAGCCCCCGCCCCACTCGGGCCCGGGCCGTGGCTGCTGCCGTCCCGCAGCGCCCCCTGCCGGCAGCTCGGGGTAATGACGCCGGGAGGCGGCCAAGGGCCCGGCAGCAGCCGCAGCCCCGAGCGGCCCCGCCGGTGCTGGCCCCGCCGGCGGGCAGGAAGCGGGTGCGCTGCGGTAGCTTTGATGCAGCGCTTATCTGCGACGTGGAGTGCCCTGAGCCCGTTCCAGGGAGGCGGCAGCGAAAGATGTGCGTGGAAAAGTGCGGGCATCGAGCGCCGTACGTATGTGAGCGAGATCGGCACTGGTTAGGAGACGGGGTGATGGGAGATGGGATAGGAGATAGGTTGGACCCTGCGGATGTACAGGGTAGTGTGAAAGCATCATCTCACGCAGTCTGAGTGACAGAATCACAGAATGGTTTAGGTTGGAAGGCACCTTAGAGCACCCCCAGCCTAACAGCCTGCCGTGGACTGGATGTCCTCAGGCTGCCCAGGTCCCATCCAACTTGGCCTTGAGCACCTCCAGGGATAGGACACCCGCAGCTCTCTGGACAGCTGTGCCAAGGAGTCGCCACCCCCTGAGTACAAAACTTCTCCCCTAACCCGATCCACGTGGAGTGCTGGGAGGGAGAAAAGCAAATCCCCCCTGGGTCTCGTAGTCCCATCCCCGCCTCTGTCCCGGCCCGGCCCGGCCCCAGTCCCGGCACATCAAAGGGTCGGGGCAGATTGAACTGCGCTCCAGACGCTCCCTCCCATTTCCTGCTGGATTCCCGTCTCGCTCCCTTTGCCCGCATCAGCAAAACAGAGTGTAAAAATAGAGGCCGGGCTTCACCAAAACACAATGGTAAATTGTTCCCCTAAAGGTCACTGGGGCGTCTCAGAATAGCTCGAGGAGAGAGGAAAAATTGATGTGTCCGAGGGGTGACGAACCTGAAGATGAAGGCGGGACCCCTGACATGAGGCTCCTTGGAGCCCTGTGTGCTTTGGAGCATCATCACCTTCGTTCCTAATAGGGTTGGCCATCACTGTGAGCCTTATCCCGGAGTGTGACAACTCAGTGAGCCCCAGGTGGTGCTCAGGTGTTGGGCAGCAAGAAGCAAAGGGAGAGGCAGGAGAACCAGGCAGGCAAGGGAGGGATGGGAGGATGAACGGCTCTGCCCGTGACAGCATGCGGTCCCCTGGGCACCCGCAGCCTTTGTGTGGCTTTGTGGGAACCCTGGCAGCCGTGGGATGAGCAGGGAGCAGCTCTGCCAGCAATAAATTACTGCTCACAGTTGTCAGTGGCCGCTAATAATGAAGGTGAAGCTTTCCCATCGCCTGCATGGGTGGGAATATTTGGGGCCTGTTGTTCCGTGAGCATATTTTAATTTGATAATGTGGGAAGGCACTGAGTAATGCAGGTGCTTGCTTTTTTTCCCAGTCTAGGCTGCCCTGGAGCCTGGCTTTCCCAAAGAGGCTGTAGTGAAAGCCAGATAATGAGGCTGGACAATGAAAGCTGCACAAATTTGGGGTGATTTTGCTTTTTTGTTTCTTGTTTTGCTGGCTTTAAACATGTGCTTCTCCCACCTTCTCTTTTCTTATAGTTTTAATTCAATTTTATCTAAATGCCACTTCCCCTCCTTCCTAATTTCATCTGTGCCACAGCCACTGCAGAAGCACAACATGACATGGGGATTTTCTGCCCCTGGGAGCCTTCGTATGACCAGGGACACAGGAAAAAGGTGAACAAACAAAATGTCTTTCAATGCCATCCTATGATTTGCCAAAAAATTCCCTGCAGTAAGAGATGGATCAAAATCCCCATCACTTCTGAAGGTAATGTCCATAACCAGTTGGCTCCATCCAACACCAACGGTGATGAATCCAGGTTTGTCTGAGGGCCAGAGCCACCCATAGCACCCAGGCTATTGTCCTCTGTGCAAGGGTTGGCCCTAAGGAGCTTTTCCTAAATACAGAAGATATTTGGGGCCGGGGCACTGTTCATCACCCATTGCAAAGAAACACCATTGCAAACAAATAAAATTAACAAATGGTGAAAGATAAATTGAATTTTCCACCTGGAATGGGAGCGTCAGGGGGTGACACAGTGAATGAGTGGCATCACTCCTTCCCAGCACTGTCCATAGAGCTGTATATTCAGTGTAAACATGTAGGGAGTGCTTATAAACCCTCACCTTGGGTGCGTGCAAGGGCTGCTTGAAGGGGGAGGAAGAGGGAAACTTGTCCTGGGCAGGGAGCAGAATAGGATGTGGGAGGGAGAGATAAAGGGTGCGAGAGCTATCAGCTCCATCCGGGACAGAGTGGGGATGGGGTTGGAGCATCTGTTCAGCAGCGATGGGGTTGGCAGCAGATAACACCCAACGCCTCAGCTGTGGGGCTCTGCACACCCTGAAGGGGACTGCCAAAGTCATAAGGATGGAGGGGAATGGTGTTGTCCTCCTGCTCATGGCATGGCTGTGGCATGCTGCAGCTGTATTCACCTTCAGCATAGCCTGTAAATGATGTATATGTGTACATATGCCACCTTCAGCATAGCCTGTAAATGATATACATGTGTATTTATACCATCTTCAATATTGCCTATTAATGATATATATTTATGTATATATAAATATACACTTATTTATATATATATATAAATGACTGATGTCACCAGCTCAACTGTTTTTTTAGTGTTTTTAGTGTGCACCAGGCTCTGACATTTGTTTCTTTTTTTTTTTTAATTAAAATAAAGGAGGAATTCCTACCACTACCCACCGTTGCCTATGACTGCCTATTGAGCCTCAGCCAAACACTGCTCAGCTCCGAGCACAGCAGCGTTGTCCCCAGCAGCCCCATCCCCAAAAGAGAGACAAGGCCACCAGTGGGGGACCTCTGGGGACATGCACACAGCAGGTGGCAGTGCCCAGGCGCCCGCCCAACACGGGGGATTGCTCCACACCACCGCTTCCTTCCTGCTTTCAGGATGGGGAAATGGTTTTGCAAGGGATCTGTTGGCTGTTGGCAGCTTTTCCCAGCTGGGCACAGAGCTGAATGGCCAATGGGTGCGAGGGGGGGAGAGAGGAAAGCGAGCGGAGGCTGCTTTGTAAAACTTTATTTAGAAATATTCTTGATATATTCATTATATATATATATTTATATATACACACACATTACAACAAATGTGTTTTCTAAATAGCACATCCACAGTGGGTCGAGAGTCAGGGTACCGGGTCTGGTTACCTTGTTTCTGCTGAAAAAATGCAGAAAGCCAAAGGGAGGGTGGCAGAGAGAGGGACAGGGCTGGGAGAGAAAATAATGGCAGGGGGAGAATTCAATCACACGGTACGACACTGAGCAGCAGTGCTGTTCCAACAGAACCGGGGCGATGTTCCACACACGGAGACGTGAAGCAGGCAGGGGGGAAGGTGGGTGGATGGGGGAAATGTACCATTCAATCACGATTAAAGGACAACTGTACATACCCCGGGAGGACGGCAGCGTGCTATGGGCAGGTGTGCGTGTGGGGACCGAGGAGGTTGTACCATTGGCCAACTGTTCAGCTACCAAAAAGGGATAAATTAAAAAAAAAAAAAAAAAAAAAAAAAAAAAAAAAAAAAAAACCAGAATTCTGGGGAATGAGGAAAATCTCAGAGTGTTGGTGGTCTTTTTTCTTGCAATAGTTTGACAAAAAGTGAATGAGGCCCCCCTCTCTCCTCCCCCCCCCAGGTCACCACCCAGGTGCCCATTCCCAGGGACACCAGTGACTACAGCAGCCCCTCGTGCTCAGCACTGCCCCATGGTAACTCCTTCACTTAAGCTGTCCCTTTACGCAGGGTCTGGATACAGGAGGGCACTGTCCTCCTTCTCCCCACTACACGCTGGGGGATGCTGTTGGCTTCTGACAACTTGGGGCTGAGCTCAAAGCCCTGGCTTGCACTGGGAGTACATCCCACCCAATGCACCTGCTCTACGCTGAGGAAAGTCTCAGCCTATTATTTACAAGAGGCCCTAAAGCCAAGCCCAAAGGCTTTCTCCCTTATGAAGGACATTGGGTTATGGTGTAACACTACAATTTCTTTGCCTTGGAGCCTCTACACATGAAGGAACCAGAAACAGAGGAACCACAGAGCACTGACACTTGGTCCCAAACCAGCTCTGCAGCCCCTAAGACCTCGGGATGGTCCCATCAGTGCTCTTAGCATTCACCCCAGGCCAGGAGATACGACAAGGCTGTAGCTCCTACCAGCCTCAGCCAATCAACAGCCTCCTGCTGTCTAATTGCATCCAGTCTGTGGGTGCTTGCAGGGGTGCACTACCACCACTACTTTCACACAACAAAACCAAAAAGTTCAAAGCATACCACTGAAACCCTTTTATAACCCTATGTACACTCAAACTGTTGATGCATCATTGATTCCTTTCACTTTTTTTTCATTCAAAAATAGTCCCTGGTTCAAGGGGAGGGCATCGCTAGTCACCTTTTCTCTCCTTTACCAATTCTGAGTTTCATCTTCCTTGAGAGAAGCTCAGCCCTACAGAAACCTCTGGGGAAACTTGAGGGAGACCATTGCAGGATCTCACCTGCTGTGTTACAGCACAGGGAAGGGGGCTCAGGGGGTGGTGGGGAGCACAGGACACCCTATGTACCTTTATGTTCAGTGGATACTGCATGACGGCGTTGAACAGAAGGAATCTCACGTCATAAATACAACACCCCAAACTATCCAACTTTAGGTAGAAGGGAAAGGAAAGGGGACGAAAACAATTAAAAAAAAAAAAAAGAGAGAGAGAGAGAGAGAGGAAAAAGAAAGTCTCAATCCTTTTAATAGTTCTTTTGCTGAGGGTATTTTTCACCTCGTTAAAAAGATACAGTCAGAAGGTCTTGGTCAACGGGAGCATGGCTCGGACCAGTTGCTTGTGCTCCACAGCCCTGTGTTTCATTCCTCACGTCCCAGCCTCAAGACTGCTTGAGAAGTGACCCTCAGGCGGTCCAAAAAACCCTCAGAATGTTGGAGGGGTGCTGGCTGCATTCCCCTCCCATCCTCAGAGTCAGTATGTACAACGAAGACGACTTCAAAGCTTTTCTTCTTCGTACGATCCCGTACCTAAACACCGAGCGTCCATCCCATTCGGTTGGCCAACGTGCCAACCTGGGCCGAGCAAACGGGGAGCCGAAGGTCCCAAATCCCACCCACCTGGGTCTCGCCACCCTTCTCTGAGCGCTCGGGGAGTGATTTGGGGTCATCACCGCTGCGCGCTGCCTTCGACAGGGAGGATGGCATGGTGCAGGTTCCGTGCGTGCTTGGAGTCGAGCGTGTCGTGCTCCTCTGTGAAGCTGTCCGGGCTCGCTGCTCCATCCAAAGAACTTCCACAGCTGGAGTTCGGAGACAGCATGTCCTGCAGGAGGTCTTCCTGAACTATCCCCGAGTCTTTGTTCACTTTACCCCTTTGGTTTCCTTCCTCCTCCTGGTCGTTGAGCAGCTTGGCCAGGAAGTTGATGTATTTCATAGCCAGGCGCAAAATCTCATTCTTGCTCAGCTTTTTGTCGGGCGGGTGCGTGGGGATGAGTTTGCGGAGCTCCGCGAAGGCTCCATTCACGTTCTGTTGCCTCCACCTCTCCCGGCTGTTGGTGAAAATGCGGCGGACCACCTTCGTGTGAGGACCTGCAATTGCAATGGCACACAGTTATTAGCAGCGCCCACCGGCTCGTAGAATCATAGCACCACACGATCGTTAAGGTTGGAAAAGATCTCTGACATCACCCAGTCCAACCATCCAGCTACCACCAATAGTGTCCAAAACCCTGTCCCTCAGTCTCTCGTCTCCATGGTTCTTGAATCTCCACCATCTCTCCGGTCATTTAATAATTTGCTCATTTCTCAAGTTACTCTATTTATTTTAGTCCCATCATCAAGGTACGGGACCAAGAGTTTCCAATAGCAGGAAGCTAACCAAGGAGCCGCAACAGCCACAGCTCCTGTTCAATGGAAGGGAAAAGTTGAGTTGCACCTCTCTAGATGCCCCCTGAGATGCCTAAATTTAGCTCTCCAAGGAGGGTGGCTCACCACTACATGTATTTTTAGGGTATCTCAGCAACAAAGATCCTATTAAAAGGCTAGCTCACCAGATGGCTTTATTTTTCTATCCCAAAAGTCACACCATTGGGACAGGGGAAATTGGCATGAACTGAGGATTTAACAGCTCCAAGATCCCAAGGTCTTCCTTCTGCCCTGATGTCACCAGGATCAGGAGATCTGGCAGAGATCACCAGCCCTCCAGGTGCTTCGTGTGATGGGGCAGCAGGACTCACCCTGGTGTAACACACAGTGGAAGCAGTGTCTTTGCCTCAAGGGTGACCACGGGAGGACAAAGCAGCTTTCCAGCTAGCCCATGGACCTCCTGCTCCCTCTTGCTCATCAGTGCAAGGATTCTCCATCAGACACTGACTGGAGAAGGGTCTCCCAATTGCCAGTGATGACCATTTGGCTCTGCTACTGTCAGTGCCAGCTAAATTTCTAATTTTACAGCCATATTCCTGTAGGGCATGTAACAGGAGGTATTCCTGTGCTCAGGAATGCAATCATCCATTCTCCCTCTATCAGTTCTCCTTTCAGCTCATCGAGGCAGCTCCTGATGGCATGAGGTGACATTGCCTCTATGCTGAGAGAGACACAAAGCAGAAGTCTGCCCAGAAGTTAAATCAGGACTGCAAGTCCTTGGATCCACAGAAAGCAGTGTGTGGAAGGAGACACTGCCATCAGCCATCTCCATCCTCACCTCCAGGACACACTGACAATGGAAGGACGCTGCAACCTCAAGAAACTACGGGAGAATGGCCATGCTGGAAGGAATAGGGAACATCACAGGCAGTGAAAATCACCACAGATGTGTTCAATTAACAAAATGAACAAATGAAGTGTTCAATTAACGTGCTGATGAGTTGCACCCTAAAGGATGGGCTGTGGGATTCCCATCACACACCGTCTCTCCTCTGTGGGGACCAAAGGGACTTCAGCCACCACAGCTGCCTGGCTCTGCTGAGTGCAGCGACAACGTGCTGTCATCTCCTACAGCAACACAATTCCTGCTCTTAAATGCTCTCTCTGGACAAAACAGCACACAGTCCTGGATTTAGGAGGTGCAGCTTAACATCTTTTTGCACTCGTAAAGGAATAAGGAAAAGAAATGTGGATCGTGTTAATTATCCAAAAATCTCAATCTTCACAGGCTTCCAGCACATCTCATTTACAGGAAGCTGCCTACTAAGAGGCAATGTCTCACGAAATGCTGAAACCAGACACTGACCTGTCCATTTTCCTCCCCAAACAAGATCAAGAATATAACAAATTCTGACACCACTACAATGTTTGGTTCTTGCATCAGTGCCAGCAACTAAATTAACCGTATTCTTAGAAGAACAGGTTTGGGGCAAAGTGTGTCAAGCAGTGGAGGAATTTAAAATACCCCTTAGCTGTATGGAAGCTCATGGAAGATCTTCATTTCTCATAGAGAAGCCCCCTAATTAAGCCAAGCAGTTGGCTGCAAAGTTATACCTGGATTTTGTTCCAATCAATGGTTTGATCCATGCTTATTAAATTGCAATTGTAATTACGGATCCAAAGAAAACCAGCAAGAAGACAAGCTTCCA